TTGGCAGGGACGCTACGACGGTTGAAGTCCTCAGCGAGCTGCTTGTTGTACCATCGCAACGGTTCCATTTCCTCAATTTCAGGATTTTCTGTACGTTCATGAGTCCCTTGTTCGAAATGGCGGTAAGAGACGGTGAAGATCACCTTCTCTTCTTTCGGGTTCTACGCGCTCAGCCGTGACGACGCTACCGTCCTCAGTGCGGCGGCGTTTGCTTCCGCGCTGATTTTCATCCATGTCGCGTCGATGGACGCTCTTGACGCGCCAGATCTCGAAGGTGAGTGTGCCGATGCCGTTATCGCTCGGCATCGTGCGGTTGGTAGTGCTATCTTCTGTCGGACAACAAATTCAATTTCTTGATAAGGAAAGATCGGATGCGGATCATACCGATGATCAGCGTCGGTGCAAACTCGAACGGTCGCAAGAAGGTCGTGTTCAAGTGAAGGCCCGCCTTGTGACCCTTGAGGCCCGCCTCGGCGAAGAACGGGCGCAGCTTGGCGCCATCGAAGGTCGGCTTGATTGCGAAGTCGGTGTCTTCGGAGTGGTTCATGAAGTCGCAGACGAAGTTCTGAAATGTGGCTTTCAATCTTTTAGCAGAGTAGGTTACCAGGGCATACACGTACCTTTCCGATGATGCTTTCAATATAGCACGTAGTGATAGCAGCGTCGAAGTCGACGTCGACGTTGAATTCCGTGCACTTGATGCTGTCCATGGCGATGCCAATGTCGAAGTCCTGGAAGCGCGGCATATTGAGGTAAAATGTTCGCAAGGAGTATGGAAAGCGCGAGCGCGATGGGTGCCGGAGCGACTGAGTGTGGTATGAGGGGGAGAGAGAGAGAGAGATACTGCGCGAGGCCCACAAGTCGAACGATGGGTCAACAGAATGTCAACAAATGGGGCACTCACTCACCGCGTGTGGGATGGTGAATCACGCGTCGGAGTCTCGCGTAGGCGATAACTGCGATCTCCGTGCGAAATCAGCAGCTACCATTGGTATTCTAGGCCTTGATGATTTTGAGGATAACGGCCGTGGGTGACAACCTGTCCTACATAGATGTGTGGCTCAAAGATTACTGTCTGAGGTGTCACTGAGCAGAGCTGAACGCGGATGTCTTCTTCATACATAGCTGTGGTTGTCCAACTGTATGGCAGCCACAACCAAAGAAAGGCGCCTACGGAAAGTGAGCGTTTACCCTGTAGCGCCCGGAATCGGCCACAAGCGCGATTCGGACCGTAAAGGTAAGCCCGATAGTCTCGGTTATTGAAGTGGTTGTCCGGCGTTGCCAGGAGATTGTCCGATCGGGCAACCGCCGGTTGCCCGCCTGTCACCTAACTCGTCAACTTGTTCGGAAAGATGACCGACCACAAACGTGATCAGGACCCAGGTAGTCGGTCACCTCCTCAGGTGGCATTGGCCAGGCAGGTGAGCTTTATCTACTTAGATATTCATAGACCATCATTCTGGGTTTTTGCTGATGTCAAGGTGAATCTTTCTAAGCGCGAAGCTGCAGCCGCATCGAGTCTCCACACCTCATATTCAGAGATGTCGATGACACCAGCCGACTTCTCTCAAACTGGAGCAAATTCCTACCGACTGATTCCTTTGATCAAAAACCGCAGCGGAGCGCGTCCTCAGGTCAACAAAAGGTCTGGCGGGCTCTCACGTCACGGGAGGTATTCTCGGCCCAGATTGCACGATTCACCAAGTATGTCAAGTCTCTGCTTGATGCACCAAATAAAGCCGGACAGCTCTGACGTTGCGTCATGAAATTAGACAACAATTCAGTGATCCCTTTAATCAGTGACCAGAACGCAGCGCGTCATATCAACAAAAACCCTGGAGAGCTCTCCCATCGCGGGAGATACTCTCGACCCATATCGCGCAATTCACCAAGTAAGTCGAGTCTCCGCTTGATGTATCAAATAATGCCAGACAGTTCTGACTTGCATCATTCAATTAGACAATGAGTCGGACAGCCTTGGACTAGATGATGCTGATGATCCTCTGCATGATGTCCCGAGATGGAGTCATCCACCACCCACCCAATGGTCTGACCTCTTTACGGCACCATCGACTCCTCTCCCATTACCCGACATACCATTTCCACAATGGGAACCTCCTTCCATTTATTCAGATTTTCTGAGTCCCATCCAACAGTCTTGTCTAGCTGGCAGAGGCACCGAGCCCGATCGAAACATGAAACTTCAAGTCGTTGCTCCTCCATCTTTGCTATCACAACACCCTCCCGAACCAATCCAGAGCGATCAGCACAAGCTGGAAGTCAGGATGTTTACTCCGTACGCTAGCATGCAGGGAACATCACACCGCATCACATGCACTCTCACAGTCCTTCTAGCGTTAGGCGTATGTATGCTCGCATCTATGGAGGTGTTCAGAGGTGACATCCGCCGAAACTTGTCTCCTGAATGGGTTGAATTATCTGGTTGTTCAAGAAGAAATTCATCATCTCCTCCAGCTGCAAATGAATCAGCTCATGTCAACTTGACCCGAGTACACAATATTCAAGTGGTGGACTCCCTCACCTCGGAGACCTACAGGATTCCTGAACGGCTCGACGTCGGACTATTCCAATGGATTTTGGGATTGAAGGTTGCAAGGCCCAACCCGGCTGCTGTCGTGCTCCGTAACGCTTTGCGTTTTGGAGAATGCTGGCCCATGGACGGCCCATCTGGCCACCTTGGTCTGCAGCTCGTGCAAGCCATGCATATTGCCAAAATCATAGTCAGACACGTGCCATTAGAGATGGCTGAGGACATCAGAACAGCGCCTCGAATGGCGATTCTGTGGGGGTTGTCGGAAGAAATTACTGTGCTGCCCACGGAGCATCCCTCGCGTGCAACGCATATTTCGACTTTACCAGCGCGGTTGTCGCTTGCTAATGGCACTCAGATGCTCCCCCTTGCATTCATCAACTACGACATCCACTCGTCATCATATACACAGACTTTCGATACCGATGTTCGCTATCAGCATAAAACATTCAAGCTGGTTGTGCTGGAGATCCTGGATAATTGGGGGGTGGAAGATCTCACTTGTTTGTATCGTATTCACTTGGTGGGATGGATGTGATGGGTTTCACATGCAAAGAACCTTCGTTGGCATGAATGTACGTAGGGCGAGGGGGGAGCGAGTGCTACCCTCGCGCGCAAGACACGCAAGACAGAGCATCGTGGAAGCGCGCACCATGTCCTAACCATTCGCTGTCATCGCTTGTATCGCGCCCAAATATCACTTAGGAATGTGATGCGCGCTTTTCCTCCCATGAAGGCGCGGACGTAATTGTCCCATAAATCTGACGGGCATGGCATATGTGACAGCATGAAGAACACTGAGCGCGGAGTCTGTTCCTCATGGCGGGAGAAGATTATCGTTTCATTCATTTCCATCATAACAACCCACATATAGATAGTACACCGTTAATGCAATATCACTGGAGATGATCTGCTATCCGTGGTGAGCTGTCGATCGCAAAAGCTACGGCTACCAGGAATGCCAACTTCACAAGAAGGTCAATGAACTTGTCGACCGGCATTTTGGAGAGATTTTCTTTGTCTTCCACGATATCCAGGGTTCTGAATCACAAGTCATCAGCAGGATGAGGTGGCGTAACGGAAGGAACAATGACGAATTTCTTTTGGCGAGCCACGTCGAAGTGGGGTCCGATGTGGTTCTTGAACTTCTGCATCAGGAGCGCGATGTCCTCAGCACGGCGGCGCTTGTGGCCAACCGGGTATTCAACCTGACCCTCAATCAGCACGGTGCCGTCGTTGAGTGTGACCAGCAGAACATTCGAGATCGAGCGCTTGCTGGGATCATGGTAGTCGACGCTGTACCACTTCTCCTCGACACGGAATCTTCGCGTGGAGGGCATGAATGCGAGGATAGGCGGCTGCCACATCGGTGTATGGCTCGGAAGTCAACTGTTAGTCCTACAAGCCAGCACGCTTAGCAGGCGTCAGGAACTCACTCTCGGTCAGCGAAATTGTCCCAAGGACCCTTCTTGTTGATGATGAGCATCGCGGCTTCCTGGATCCCGATGCGGATGCTCTTGATGTCATCACTGTTCTTACCCATTGCCTTCAGCTTGTTGTGGAGAATGTGGGCGGCTTCCATCGCAGTCTGCTCATGCATATGGAACTCCGCCAGATACGAGATCTTGAAGAGGACATTTTGCATGCTATACGAGCCGTATGGCATCTGGAACTCGAAAGGCATGCCCTACATGAGCGCACTAACATGACGGATCGAAATTGTTAGAAAAATCCTACGTAGTAAATGCGGCTACATCAGAACCCCATGTCTTGGCAGTGAGGACCGAAGGCATGCCCTTCTCGCCCTTCTTGCTGAAGGTTCGACCCCCGCGGTGGGCTAGTTAATTTTTTTCGGCCTTTCTTTTTCATCATTGTTCCTTCCGATCCCGCTTCAGTCTATGTGCATGTGGAGAATTAACGGTAAGCTATTCACCCCACTCAGTGTCATAGACGAGATTGACAGCGCGCGAGCACCCGTCACCGGCGGCCTATGACTTGCGGGAGCCCGTGTTTGGCGCATGTCGATAGGTACGCAGGAATTGACCATCTGCCCATGCTTGGAAAGTAGCATCGATAGTCTGCTCACGGTTCAGGCTGCTGAGTCGTCGTCAGTGAGGCACGCGTGGTTCCGCACGCTAGAAGCTGATACGCACAGAAGCTTGGACATGACCGCAGTGCTGGCGACGTTCACAAGAACCACATGGTCAAGACCCACGGAATTGAGGAGGGATGTCACGCACAGTCAGCGGCTCCCCCTTGCACGCAAGGCGGTCGGCGATGGCGAGGACGGCACCAAGATCGTCCGATGGGTGAGCAAGGAAGCAGATCTGGGTGCCGACGTTGAACGCACCGTAGATAGGATAGACCTGACATCTGGCACCAGGGACTCGTGTGCCTTGCATTGATACTTAAAGTCATGAAATGTGCATATGGAAATTACAACTTGGCGTACCGTTCGGGACAATCGTGCCTTCGCCCGCAGGACCCATAAACCTCGCACATTCTTCATCGAAGCCCTCCAGTCCACACCCGATCGTGTCAATCAAAGAGCCTTGAGCTTGCGGTCTCAAAATGCTGAATCCGACTCGATCTTGTAGTTGTGAATGTAGAGCACTTGATCGGGCTCTGGACGGACGACAGACTCGGCGTGGCTGGACATGCTATGGGCAATGTGAAGAATGAACCTGTAAACACGTATGCCGAAATCGGGAGAGATGGATTGGCGGAGTTTTGAACGACGAGA